ATATATTACAATGACTGTACAAATAAATACCATATCACATTATACACATGATCACAAACTATCTCTACCATGACATATAGTATTTACAATGGATCAGATCTCTTCTCCCCTCCAAATAAAGGTCCAGGAGGGAAAGAAGGACAGATCCCTTCCAGTCCTTAAGCAGCATCTTCTGAGGCAGCAGGTTTCTTCTTCTCATGCATGCAGCAGCTGATAGCTGGATTTCTGCCAGCATCCACAAGGGAGGTATCCAAGCCTCTCTCTTGGCCCCATCGCCTCACAACCGAGGGGTCTTCCGTGGACTTCGTAACCCCAGACAAGGTCGTTTCACCACGTCATATCACGAAGACACAGGGGGGTCTTCGTGACGGTCTGGTATCTCTTGCAGGAGACTCAGCTCCTCCTTGCAGGGCCTCTGTGCCCTGTCTCTCAGGCTGCCACCGTGGCAGCAGTGCAAGGGGGGGAAGCCAAGGTCAACTCCCCCTGCATTCCTCTCGGAGCTCTCTAGCTCCTTTCTACAGTGCATGTCGCACTTCAAGGCTCTTTCAAGTAAGAGTCCATCATCTTCCTCCTTCCAGGAGGTCTCAAAGGAGTTTTGGGGATCTGGTATCAGTCTTACCCCCAAGAACTCTGTAGCTCTCAGCTGCTGGCTCTCTCTCTCTCCCTTTCCAGGAGTCTCCTCTGCAGTGCTGCATGTTGTTTCTGCTGCTTCTTCAGCTCAGGTTCTTATCTCTGGCTCTCTGCCACTGTTTCTCTGGTCAGCGTCGGCTGCTGCTCTGTGCCCATGGAGAAAACATCTCCCGGCATAACTACAGGCACCTAGCCCAGCTTTATGCTGTTCCAGGTCCCTGTAGCCCCCAGCCAGGGGCTGGGAGGGGGCCAGAGGCCCCAAGGGGCTCAGAGCCCCTACCTCGTGGCTCTACAACATGGCCACCTCTCCTACAACCAAAACTACAACCCTTCTTTTCCGGTCTGGTTGTGGTATGTTTACATTTCTGCAGGAGCGCCCATTGGGCAGAACTTCAAAACTTCCAGGGGTTTCCACCCCTTGGGGTCTACCACTTCTCTCAGCCTCTGGGGAGAACAAGGTTCAAACCACTACAGGTCTGTAGAGTGACTGCTTCATGATCCCATTTTCCTCTGGCTAAACTGTATTTTCCATTTAAGCAGCAGAGTGTACTCTCAGGATAAATGCAAGTCATATATCACTGGTGTCGCATGGCCACTTGGCTTGCAGATGAAAGGAGCATGAGATACTTGAACTGTGACTTGCAAGAAAATCTGCAGTGGCTTTCCTGAATTGGTACTTCCACCTTTCAGCTAAAATTCCTCACCGCTGGCTTTGGGAGAGAGAAAAAGTTTTGAAAAAAAATTTATGAGAGAACTGTAATTTTTTTCATGTTTGCTTTAGTCAGAGCCTCAATCCACCAGAAGAGAGTGTCAGTGGGAAATGTACACACTACTCTGCATTTTTATACACAACTTTTTAATGTAAAACTTTACCTTCTCCTAATATGGATCTGCAAAGATGAAAGCTACATATGCATTCCTCTACCAGGTTACACATCTTCAAATTTATTTTTGTACTTTAAAGCTCTTTTGGCTAATTTGGGATAGTTATTAGACAAATATTGAAATAGATGAAGCAAAGAAGCAATGGCATTGAAGTAAACTCCTTCAGCTTGCTTTCCTGAGTACCTTATAAATAGGCAGTGTGGTACTGCTTACTGTAAATTAGACCATGATGAAGGCCTTTTAAGGCAGCCAGTTTAGCATACTCTTCACCCTATATTTTTTAAGAATTTCTTGTTAACTAAGGGCTAAATGGTACTTATTAATTCACTTTTATCTGTAGCTCTAGGGAATAGGAAAAACCCTGAAAATTAACAACTTGTCCCCCCCACCTTAACCCTCACTTGGTCCCCCTTCAGTGTTTGACACAGCCAATGCCAAAAAAAGAGATCTTGTTGCATAAGTTTCATGGGTCCTTGGCATATGTGATCCCAGGCCTTTTTCTCACAAGTCTATTTCAAATTCCAGTCACAACAGAAACACAGTAATTGAACTGATGGGTTGTCAGCTTTAAAAAAGTGACTATATGACTTTTTATCACGGTATTTTCATCACACTGGCCAGTGTCATGGAGCCCTCTCTGTAGGGAGGTTACCTGATCCTGCAGGAACTGCTCTAAGGTTGGTTGGGGTTTTTTTCACCAGCTAATAGCATTTAGCATTTCACCAGGCCACATTAAACTCAATGTACAAGCAGTTAAGAAAAGTACTGTATCTGGCACTGTTTAATGTCACTGACATGAAATGTGAGCAGCTGTGCCAGCATTCCTGAACTCTGAAAGTACTTTACCTTTCCTCTGTCTTTTGGAAATTAAATACATTTTAGTACATTTTGGGGAAATAAATACATTTTAATACAGTGCTATAATGTTAGGAAGGTCAAAGGATTAACTATGTCTTGTCATCTAGATACTAAATGAAATCAAGACCATTTTAATCATAGAGATGGCTAGCTGCCCTTTATCTCCAGGTTCACCAGGGCTGAGTGCTCTTTGAGTGGCAGAGCTGTATGGCAATTTAATGAAAATGCTGTCCCCAGTTTCTGACTATGCATGCACACTCCCTGGAAGAACTATTTTGGACTGCTATTTTAGCCTTAGCACATTGTCATTAGACATCTTTGGACAAGCTTTAATCTCTGAAGAACCAAGACCAAAATTCTGATTAATATCATCAGGTATCAAAAGCCTCTATTTCAATTAGCTTAAAAAAGAGGACCTTTATATTTTGTATTTAAGTCAAGAATGGGGATATTTTCCCTTTTGCTGCTTTTTTATATAAAAAGAAATAAAAATGACAAAATATCTTTTTCCTATTGATTTTATAGACCTGAGAAGAAAAAGAGCTTTTGCCTTCCAGCACAAGTAAGTGATCTCCTTCAACAGATCATTCGTCACATGATTATGGCTTCACTGGCCTTTGCACATCAGCTGGATCGCTGCCGAGGCTGGTGGACTTCTGAGAGTTAGTAACTTGTTCCACCTGGCCACTAACCAAAAAAACCCTACTTTTGAATGTCAGTTCTAGGGTACCCACTGCAGCCAACCATGATGGCACTTCCCAGGAAGACTCTGGGGAAGAGTTACCAGGAAGGAGATCTGTGCAGGAGCAAGAAAACTCCATTACTATCCATTTGACTATTGTTTGATTGGAATTTTCTTTTGAGGCATTAAAATATCCCTCAGCGAGATCCTCAGGCTATGCAAAACCCACCTGACTCTCCACTAATTTAGCAGTTTTCTGAGTGATTTATACCTGATGTAGAGCTTTACTAGCTTGCATGGAAAAGAAAGGAAGACAGTTATATGAGGAAGGCTGATGAAACATTTTTAATGGTCAAGATAATGCAAGAACAATGGGATCCCCCAACGCAAAGAATGGAGCCAAAGGGGCCATGGACCATGGAGTCAGAACAGATGTCAAAATGGAAATCTCCTTTTTCAATGGTAGTTAGAGCTTCCTGGCGAACAGCTATAGGTGAGTTCAGTTTTGAACTAGACAAACAGGTGTGTCCTGTATCCCTCTTTTGTGTTGTTATTTGTTTGGTTTGGTTTGTAGTGTTTTGTTTTTTTAATACAGTGATGTGTAAATCAAGTCAAATTAAAGCCAATACCACACACACACTCACATCGTGGCAGCACCAGTGGATTCCTTTCCATTTTAAGCAGTGAAAAACAAATATTCATTGCCAGAGGCAGCTGTGTGTAGTCATCCCAAGCTACATCCCTTCCTTGAAAGTGGAGGGATCTCAGTTTATGAGCTCCAGAATCCCGTGTGATGGTTGATTTCCAGTTTTGCAATATAAGAGAAAACCATATGAAATTACAAGACTGTCAAAATGCATTTGAGCTCTAGAGACACGTATTTGTGAAGAATCTTAAGAGTGCAGTTAAGTTTTCTAAATATTCTTTTTCTGCGTTTATTTGTTCACTTTTAAAGGAAAAAGGATACTGTAACAGCCTAAATATTTTCATAGCAATTATTTAACTGTCTTCCAAATCATCAAAAATCAAAGGACCAAACCTTGTGCAAGGGTAAAACTTCATGATCAGACCTTGGAAGCTAAAGGACTTTTTAGGCTCCTAGACTCCCAGCTGTTTAAAGGCTTCCACTTATTTCTGACTTAAAGAGTAAGCATCAGTCTGTGTGTGTGTATGACTAAAACACTGAGAAATGATATCTGGATTTCTCCTGTTGCAATAGGTACTGGAGGTGAGACAAAATAATGTCTCTGATTATCCCTTTAGACATTTAACTGTTAACACAGCAAAGAGGAAAACACTAATAAAAAAAGAAAGAAGAAGAAAGGGAAACACTGTTTGCATGTGATCCCTGCACAAAATACTTTTTGGAGTCAAAAGCCCAATATTCAGCTTATTTAAACCAGCATTGTTATGTTAAAGTCAAAGCAGCTCTGCCAATTTACTGTAACTAAGATTAGCTATTTCCATTGCTTGGAAAAACACAGGAAAAATACTGATTTTTTTTAGAAATCATTGAACAAAACTGAGCAATATTTTACCATATCTTATGTATGTGATTCTTAGAAATGTGAAGAAAAGAACTCTTAACAACCCAGCAAATTTATTTCTACTGTTATCTGACAGAGTTTTTCATTAATAAACAAAGTTTAGTTCAATATCAGGTTATCCATTTTATGTGAAGCTGAATTCAAATTGCTGTTTTTCTCATCAGAAAAAGGGATGTTCCCCTTAGATTAAAAGGAAGGTGGACTGTATCAAAACTTCTTCCAATCCAGTTTCAATTCTTCCCTTATGGTGTCCCAATTCTCAATTCAGACTTATTTCCATATTTATTTTAGAAGTCACTCTTCCAGGATCTCATGATGTCTTTAGCACATGGACAGAGTATGGTGTTTGGTGCCAGGAATGCAGTGCAAGAGAAAAAAAAAAAAAAAAAAACAGGAGAAGATCTGAGGGAAAAAAAAAAAGAAGGAACACAAACCCAGAGAAAACAAGCAAACAAATGAACCAAAACACACTGGGCTTCAAAAATGAGCAGCCACAGTGGGGTTCCACTGCAATTTGATTATGTAATAACCTCTTTTTCTTCCCCCAGAAGGTAACGCAGAGTTGTGAAGTTCAAATGTAATACAGAGGATGTTGTTTGTTAGAGTGAAAACAAAGTGACAAGCTAGTTACAATGCCAGGCCTGTTTCCGATACTTTGAGAGAAACATGGACATTATGTGTTGAGTGTCAATTTGAGTTAGTTTTATTTCATTCTAGGAATAGAAAGGCTTTGCCTTGTTCCTAGGGTGCCCACAACAAAGGTTATACCCTTTCCATATGCTGAGTTTACTTTATCTGTAAATTAGATACTGTAATAGAGGAGAATGGGATGTCTTCTGTGAGTGAAGAACTGCCAGATTGGTTTGTAGAGAAGAAATGGCTCTTTAATCTTTTCCTTAATATGTTTCATGGATCAAATTCTTCCAGCTTCTTCCACTGCATAGTGCCTTACTCTCAAGAGCAACCTTACTGAAGGATATGATATTACTAACTTTGAGGAAGGTCTGTCAACTCTCACCATGTTTTAATCATGAAGGTGAGACTGAGTCGAAAGTTTTGCACAGATTTCAACCTGTGTTTTCTCTGTAATGAAGGTGCTTTGGAAGGCAACTGGAGTCAGAGATAGGAATCAGTACCTACAGTACCCACAGAACCAGACTGAGATGTCTGGCAAGTTCTGGTATTTGACATTCAGCATGTGGTTTTCTGTGGATCAATATTTAATTAAGAGTACCCTTGCTAAATAAAATTACAAAAGGCTATTCAACCACAGTTTGTCTCTCAACTGGTCTTGGAATAGGCTTGTTTCATAACTGAAGAACTGTGCCAGTTTCAGCTTCTTTCTGCTAACATATTAGGATTGTCATGACTATGCAATGTAATATAAAGACATACTAGTAATTTGGAATACCAGGAAATAAAAGTGAATTTTGCAATGGTTACTCTACCCTTGATTTAAAATAGAAATGAACAAAGAGTTCATGACTGATAATTCTGTTCAAAATCAATGAGACCAATTTGTAAATAGAAGATTCTCTACTAAAATAATTGTATAAGGCAGCCTTCTGCGAGTGCAGAGTCTAGTATACAGATTTTAAAGGTTCTGCTTCTTTTCACTAACATCATGTCTTTCTCAGGACAAATGTTTAGGCAATTACAGTAAGTATGATAAGAACTCCATTTTCCATATGAAGTACAGAAAATGAGTAGTCACACAGGACTGTATAATTACATTTACCCCCAACCCCCCACAAGAAAATCTTTCACTCAGACAGCATGAGATTGTTTATTTGATACATCAGTGTTAAAATCATACAAAAACACGTGGAAGAAAATTAGGAATTAAATTATGTCTTCTCTTCGAGTCCCATTAGGGAAACTGAAGGGAGCAAAGAGAGGACAAAGTAATGTGAACTCAGTGTGAAGGAATGTAGCTAATGTTCCTTATCTGACCTCATGCTGAGCCACAGCACCAGTGCGGAGCAGTTCTTCTATGGCATCATCCTCATACCCCAGCATGCTCTTCAGTATCTCCACTGTATGCTGTCCAACAAGTGGAGGTGGTTTTGGATGTGACACATCAAATTCACTGTATCGGACACCTGGTCCTGTAAAAAAAAGCAAATTATTTTCCAGAGTTACTACCCATATTTATGTTGAAATGTCTATGTTAGTTTAAAGGAAAGTATCTCATTTTTGCATCAGTCTAATCGCAGTCCTTATCACAGAAACGTTATATTCTAGAATTACTAAAAAAATCCAGTTCTTAAGAATGTACCAATAAACCAGCTTTAAATAGTTCACTCAAATGCAGAGCTGATGGATATTTACCCAATGTTAAGAAAATCTTCTCATTTTTCCCAGTGACATGTATATTAGAGTGCTCTGAGTCACAGGTCTGCCACTCTCTGCTACCTGAACGACAAAGACAATGCCCAGCCCACTCAACAGGATGTGGTACAGAAATCCCCAGACTGTCTTCAACAGGAGGCAGGACAGGCATAAAGACACAATGAAATGTGATGTTAACACACTGTCACTGATGTCAGAGCAGTGCATGGACAATGGAAAGCACCATCTCCAGTTGGCAACAGCTTAAGTACCTCTGCAGTGCTCCATTATCCTGCAGTGACATAGAACTGACAGCACATAGAGCAATGGTATTACCCAGCTTGGTTTACATTTTCTATCAAAAATACAGGTAGAAGCAGCTGTAAGAAAATCAACAATGGTTTATCTACTCTGGCAAGAAGAATTTCAAAGGTGGAAATCTGAAAGCTGGCAATGATATGAAGACTTCTATATCTTCAATTGCAGGTAGTCAGATCTCACTTTTTAGTGACACTGTAGTGAACGGAACAGATTTCAGTGTAGTTCCCTGAGGACAAGTAACTATAGCACTACCACCAATCTCAGAGGAGAGAATGAGCTACAAATTTACTCTGTGATCAAAAGTGAGGTATCAACTCAGCGTATGCTGATTTGGTACGTTTCTGGAGTATGCTCCTCGAAGAGGTAATGGTTGGACTCGATGATCTTAAAAGTCTTTTCCAACCCAGAGGATTCTATGACATGGTTTCTGTGTTTAAAAAGGAAAGGAGGTAGAATTGGGGAATGCAGACCAAATCATTTAACTTCCATTCAATGCTGAAACAAACAATCACAATGAAAATACTCAGGAGATGAGTAACAGCCAGAATGTACCTATTAAGAACAAACAGTGTATGCAGTCTCTTGTCTTTCCACCAGGAGAAGGGCTGGAGGTGAGATATATCCCATATAACTTTATATGCCAATAACCTAGATATAGAAGTTTAGTTCCTTAGACTCTCTTTGGAGACACTGAAGATGAAAGGACACACTTAGAGTGTAGTTCTTCTAAGACACTGGTAAGTGACTAAACCTGGTCAGATGAATTGTGATCACTCATGTTCCTCCACAAAGGAAAGGGTAGACAAGTAACTTACATACAGAGCTTTAACACCCAGACATCAAGTCAGCTTAGGTGACCCTCTGTCATGGTTTAACTCCAGCCAGAAACTGAGGACCACACAGCTGCTTGCTCACTCCCCCACCAACAGGATTGGAGGGAGAATTAGAAAGGATAAAAGCCAGAAAAGTCACGGGTTGAGGTAAAGACAATTTAATAGGGAAAGCAAAGGCCTCGCACAGGAATAAAGCAAAATGAGGAATTAATTCACTGCTTCCCATGGGCAGGCAGGTGTTCAGCCATCTCCAGGAGAGCAGGGCCCCATCACACATTATGGTTACTTGGGAAGACAAATGCCATCACTTCAAATGTCCCCCCCCTCCTCGTTCTTCCCCCCACTTTATATACTGAGCATAATGTCATAGGGTACGGGTCAGTTGGGGTCACTTGTCCTGGTTGTATCTCCTCCCAAATTTCCATGCACCCCCAGACTCCTTGCCAGCATGGTAATACGAGAAGCAGAGAAAGCCTTGTGTAAAGCAGCGCTATGTAAGCACTCCTCAGGAATAACAAAAGCATCTCTAAATTATCATCACTATATTCAGCACAAATCCAAAACATAGCCCCATACTAACCACTGTGAAAAAAATTAACTCTACCCCAGACAAAACCAGCACACAGAATCACAGAATATGATTCAATGCTGTGGTGGGTTGACCTTGGCTGGATGCCAGGTGCCCACCCAGCTGCTCTATCACTCCCCTCCCCAGCCAGACAGGGGAGAGAGTAAGGTCAGAAAACAATTTGTGGGTTGCGATAAGGCAGTTTATTTAAAGCGAAAGCAAAGTGGAAGCTTGCATGCGCAAAACCAAAGCAAAGCAAAAGATAGCAGGGTTTATTCTCTACTTCCCATGAGCAGCAATGGTCGGCCACTCCTGAGAAGCAGGGCTTCAGCACGTGTTAACAGTTCCTCAACAGGCAGCCACTGGAGACAATGAATGCCTGCCTTCCTGCTCCTTGCCTTAGCTTTTATATCTGAGCTGACATCACATGGTATGGAATATCCCTTTGGACAGTTTGGGTCAGTTGGCCTGCTTGTGTCCCCTCCCAGGATCTTGCCCTCAATTGAGGAAGGAATGTTACAGTGCTGATGCTGTGCTCAGCAGTAGCCAAAACACCGGTGTGTTATCAACACCCTTCTAGCTACCAGTGCAAAGCTCAGCACTGTGAGGAATACTATGGGGAAATAAATTGCAGCTCAGGCAGACCCAATTCAAATGCTGAGTTGCAAGGGACTCATAAGGATCATCAAGTCCAAGTCCTGGCCATGCACAGGACCACCCCCAAGAGTCACACCATGTGCTGGAGAGTATCATTCAAACACTTCTTGAACTCTGTCAGGCTTGGTGCTGTGACCACTGCCCCGGGGAGCCTGTTCCAGTGCCCAACCACCCTCTGGGTGAAGAGCCTTTTTCTAATATCCAACCTAAACCTCCCCTGACACAACTTCAGGCCATTCCCTAGGGTTCTGTCACTGGTCACCAGAGAGAAGAGATCAGTGCTTGCCTTCCTCCCCTCACGAGGAAGTTGTAGACTGCAATGAGGTCTTCCCTCAGTCTCCTTTTCTCCAGGTTGAACAGACCAAGTGACCTCAGCCACTCCTCATACAGCTTCCCCTCAAGGCCCTTCACCATCTTTGTTGCCCTCCTTTGGACCCTCTCTAGTAGTTAATATCTTTCTTATATTGTGGCACCCAAAACTGCACACAATATTCAGGTGAGGCCACCCCAGCTCAGAGCAGTGGGATACCAGCCCTCCCTTGACTGGCTGGTGATGCTTTGCCTGATGCCCCCCAGGACACAGTTGGCCCTCCTGGCTGCCAGGGCATGCTGACTCATATTCAACTTGCATTGACCAAGACCACCAGGTCCCTTTCTGCAGAGCTGCTTTCCAGTATCTCATTCCCCAGTCTGTCTGTACCAGGGTTGCCCCATCCCAGGTGCAGAATCTAACACTTCCCCTTGTTGAACTTCCTATGGTTGGTGATTGCCCAGTCCTCTCATTTGTCGAGATCTCTCTGCAGGGCCTCCCTGCCTTTGAGGGAGTCAACAGCTGCTCTCAGTTTTGTGTCATCTGCAAACTTGCTTAGTATCCCTTCTAGTCCTGCGTCCAATTCCTTTATGAAGATGTGGAAGAGCACAGGGCCTAAGATGGAGCCCTGTGGAACCCCACTAGGGACAGGTCACCAGTCTGATGTCACCCCATTTCCTATCACCCTCTGTGCTCCACCTGTGAGCCAATTGCTCACCCATCACATGGTGTGTTTATCCAGCTCTATGCTGGACATTTTGTCCAGAAGGATACTGTGAGAGACAGTATCAAAAGCTTTACTGAAATCCAAAAAGATGACATCAACTGGCTTCCCTTGATCAACTAGGTGGGTTACCTTTTCATAAAAGGAAATTAGGTTTGGTAAGCAGGACTTTCCTCTCATGAAGCCATGCTGGCTGTAACCAATGTCTGCATTGCCTTTCAGGTGTTTTTCAATACCTCCGAGAATAATCTTCTCCATAACTTTACCAGGCACTGAAGTGAGACTGACAGGCCTGTAGTTTTCACGGTCCTCCTTCTTGAAAATCGGGACAACATTCACCAGCTTCCAGTCAGCTGGGACCTCTCTGGACTGCCAAGACCACTCAAAAATCATTGAGAGAGTTTTTGCGATGACATGTATTTTAAGTGGGGTGGCTGATAGAATTCAGGTCTTACCTGCTCAGTTTTCTGAGGACTTCAAGCTAAAATTGGCTGTGAAACAGACTTCACAATGACCTGGCTACAGTGGAGAAATGTTCTGATAAAACAGGGTGAAATTCAATAACGTTAAGGGGAAGGAACTACATTTAATTATACAAATACAGGGCAGGGGACACACAGCAAAGTAGGAATAGCTAGAGGTTATTCTAGATCAGGAAGTGAAGATGAGTCAACAACATCAGGCTGTTGTAAAAAAGGCAAGAATCATCCAGGGATGTTCAAACAAGAGAGATGAAATAATCTTTTCGCTCTAGTTAGAGCTGGCAGATCACAGCTGGAGCAGTGTCTGGTATGGGGCCCCCACTGCACAGCCATCTGGAACACCTGAGAGCTTCTACAGGACAGCAAGTGAAATTATCACAGGAAACAAGACAGACTGAAAAATGTGGGATCATGGACCTAAAGAGAAAGGCCAGAGAAAATCATCTTCAAACGTTTTCAGAGAGTGTAAAAAATAACCACCACCCCTGACCAAAAAAAAAACCAAAAAAACCCAACCCAACCCAAACCAAACCAACCAACAAACAAACAAAAACCCAACAAAACAAACAAACAAACAAACAAAAACAAAAGAAAAACAAAAACAAAACCCAACCAAACAAACAAAAACCCAAAACCAACAAACAAACAAAAAAACCAAAACCCAAAACACCCCCCAATATCCATGAGAGCTTTCTGGAAGGAGGAAATAAATCCTTTTTCATGTCCATGATGAATGAGAAATAATTGATTAAATCGCAACAAACGAAACTCTAGGAAATGAAAATACACCTCTGTGATGGTAGGGGTAGCAAAATGATGAAACAAGACATGTGAGGAGGTTGTGGAGTTTTTATCAATCAGGTCTTTAGGAACAAGATTTAT